CATCTCCGGCTTTAAACTGCTCATATGTTGTTATGCAAATTGTGATCTTTAACTGAGTTCCAACTTTGGAACCCATCATCATTTTCTCTATTTGATTCCACATATTGTGACCAGAAGCCTTATAGCTATCAATACTAGTATAAATATCATTAGTAAGCGTCTGCATCATATAAGATTTGCATAAAACATCACCATGTGCTCTTTCCTTTTCTTCAACAGTGTATCTTGACTTTTCTTTAATAACTCTTTGAGTTGGTCTGTTCTCTGCAGGAATAGCAGGAGTTTCTCTCCAGAACACAGCTGGACCTTCCATTAAAATTTCCATGATTAGATCTCCTTCTTCAGACGTTTAATGAAATTCAGAAATTTGTCTCTCCACATTAAAATTTCCATGATTAGATCTCCTTCGTCAGACGTTCAATGAAATTCAAAAATTTGTCTCTCCATTGATTGTAATCTCCTCTGAATAGGACAGATAGCTTGGTATCAGTACCAATAGTCATTGCTTCTCTTGAGCTCATATTATCTGATTTAACTGATATAGGATCTCTGCAGTTCAAAATTTGATTTGAAGAATTAAAATTCAGTAATATCTCAAAAATTCACACACAAAAATCTCACACATTCAACACTTAAAAGAAATATAAACACTTAGCCTTATCTGGATTAGCAATTCAGACAAGTTTATCCGGAATAGGAGTCCGGACAACTAAGAATGTCTAATCTAAAAAATTCGCACAGGTTTATTCGGATTTGATATCCGGACACTACACTTTACAAAAATTCACAGTATCCAAATACAATCAATTCACACAATGTCAACAAAAAGTCAACACACAAATCCGATCAATTCAAATTTAGTCAATAAAGAATAGTCAAACAATAATCCGATCAAGTACAAAAGTCAAACTCATAATCCGCTTAATGAAAAAGTCAAAGTCACAATCCGTTCAATGATTAAATCGATTAACAATCAGTCAAATTCCAATATTAAATCGATTAACAATCACTCAAATTCCAATATTAAATCGAATACAAGCTCATGCAAATTAAGATTAAATCGCATATAGTACTAAACGGATTAAACCTAAATCGCATACAACTCTAATCGGATCAAGACAAAATCACACACAGTTCTATTCAGATAAGGTCTAAATCGCTCACAGTATTGGTCGATCACAAATCACATTCACAAATCGTACACAGAATCATGCAGACTAAACCAAATCGAACAACCTACTATCCGATTTATCTTTAAACACAAACACAATTTTTATCAAATTTTCACCAAACAAATGGATCAAAACTCGAAAAAAAATGAATTTTGTAAGAACAGCAAGTTTACGAAATATCCAAAATCCTTCAAAAACTCTTCAAAAATTGATCAGATTGCAAAAACTTGTGAATAATAGTTGTTCAGATCATCATCACGAACACAATAATCAAAATTTTAACACCTAAAACACAAATTTAATGAGATTAGGGTAGAAAAGTTGATATTTTTGTGTGATATTTTCAAGAACACAAATAACAGGCGATGAACAGTGCAAAAATTCAAAATTTTGTGTGAAAAATTCTCGAAAAACGTGTAAATCATTCAATCAAATTGCTGCTACTTGCTCTGATACCAATTGTAATTCCCAAAATATCACCAAAATCATATAATCTTCAAAACAATAAGATGATCAATCTAGAGAGAGAATTTCACCCAAGTGTTTTATATTAAATCTTGTAATGATTACAAAAGTGATTAGCTCAACACTAATTACAACTCTAATTATTCTATTTATACTAGAAAGCATTAAAGGCTAATCTATTACAAAATAGGAGAAACTTGCTTGAATACAACATTAATGCACAACGTTGAACCCAACACAACATCTTTGAAAGAAACAACAGTACCTTTTCTCAATTTAAGATCAACATTTTAAAGATACAAGTCCCCTTCTCAACATAAAACAGTTTTGAAATTGTTAAACAATATTTTGGAAAAACAACAGTTTTTTTATAGGATAAGCTCTGGGCGATAACTCCCCCTCATCGGCCTACACTATGGCCGATAACCACAACAACACTATCCGTTCAATACTTGGAAAATATAAACATACTCACCGGTCAACACTGTGTCCGGTAATAACCTCACCGGTCAACACTTAAAATATCAACCTTTAAACCGAACAATGCTTTGTCCGATGAGAATTCTCACCAAACAAGACGTTGGATGATAAAACCCTAATCCGGTCAATACTTTAAAACCTCAAACATTAAACCGTTCAACACTTGGGAGATAAAATGCACAAATCAGACAACTCTTGTCCGATAAAGGCCTTCACCGGACAACACTTCGACGACGCATAAAATATGCAACTCCCTTACTGGTCAAGGCATGATCGATAAGGGACCCTCATCGAAGAACACTGTGTCCGATAACAGTTCCTCATCGGACCATGCATTTAAGAAAGAACATTTAACATACATACAATATATTGTTGTAACCTCATAATATGCAAACCCAAAATTTACCGATAGTAATAGTTGAATTCAAAGACTGTTTGTTAGAAAGACTCACCTTTTCAGATTGAAGATGAAAACAGCAAACAGGAAGTACCTACAAAAATTGATCCCAAAAATTCCAGTTTCTACTTTTAACAAAGAATTCATACACATTCTTTCTTTCTCTCAACCCTTTCTAAAAATGGCAGGAAAGGTTTCTCTTCAAATTTCTCCCCTTTATACTTGCCTAGAATAGGCGGTTTAAGAAATATTATAAAAATTCTTTTCTTCCTTTCACAAACTTCATGCATACACACATGCACATATACATTTTTTACATGCATATCACCACTCACCAATTAATGCATATATATATATATAAACCCTTGCATGAATATACATAGGTATATATATATATATATATATATATTTACTATTATATACCCATGGATACGCATATGCACAATAACATTCTCATGCATGTATATATTCCTACACATATACTCATATACATGCATGCCTCATCAGATAACAAATAATCACGTAAGCAAATAATCAATTAGTTACCTAAAATGTATAACTGGAACCCGGTTATCACATAGCGATCATAGAAGGGTTGTCAATTTTTGAGGGTGGTTCTCTCACGTCCATCCGTGAGGGGAGATCTTCCTTTATCGACGGATCCACCCTCGATTTCTTGGTACTTGACCCCAGTCAAGGCCTTCATCTTCAGGTCCCTTTCCTTTTAGGCAAGGAGTAGAGCTCTTTCCTTCTTTGATACATTTGTGGGTACCTTCTCAACAGATTCCCCTAAGATAAAAACAAAAGAAAAATGAAGAAGAGGAAATGAGAAATCTAACGATAAAGGGTCGTATGACTACTTACCCATCATCTCCTCCTTTTCCTCTCTCTCCTCCTGTTTCTCCTCCTCTTTCTCCTCCTTCTTCTCTTCGTCCTCCTCCTCTCCAACGATCGAAGCCTCTGAAGTCCATAGATAAGTTACATCGGGTCTTTGTCAACCAACCACCTAGCCCAAGGTTAAAAGCTACGATCCTCAATCTCTAAATTCTTTTAATTTTAGCAATTGAATCTTCAAAAAGACTTCAGAAAAATCGATCTCAACAAAAGAAAAATGCGAAACAGTTTTGGGCAAAACATATCTACATATAAAACTGTTGAAATATAAGCTAGTTATTATAGCCGTTATATATTAAACGGTAGCTATTTTCTATTAATTCTATATATGACAGTTAATTAACTGTCATATAAAAAGTAGCGTCTGTTGGTATTGAAGGGTTGCATCCCTTCGGCCTGTTCTGTATTTGTACATATACTATGTCCTATGGCTTCTATGAAATTAATGGATTATCAAAATTATTAGTACAATCCATATTCATATCCAACACTGTGGTATCAGAGCTGTTAGCTCTCATTTCATTTAATGTAAAAGTATGGAAAAAGTAAATACTGCAAGTGTTGACAGAAGAGGTTCCACCACAGAAGACCAACAATAGAAGATGTTCAATCGTACAAGTGAAGTGTGACAGAACCTCTGTTGTCTATCATAGAGGTTCTGGAAACTGGTCCTCTGTAATCAAAGCGTTCAAGTCAAAGATGACAGAATATCTGTTGTCTATCACAGAGGTTCTGGAAGATGATCCTCTGGAATCAAATGCTCTCAAGTCACATCCAGCAGAGCCTCTGGGATGGCTCACAGAGGGTCTGTAGCTTTATCTTCTGTGAAGAACCTCTTTACTGTTTTACTTAGGTTTTTTAGCTGCTCGTGCTTATCACGTGACTGTTTGTAATCTGCTTTATTTGAACGGCTTAGATGATTTTGTACGTCTAGGTCATGTCAGAAAATCCGTTAGGAACGAGTATAAATAGCAGAGTAGGCCTTTGTAATTCTGTGTGCTTCTATATCATATTGTAAACATTTTCAATCAATTGAAAATCATTTGAAGCTTCTCTCTCGTGTTCTTCATTCATCAACTGTGTTCTTCATTGATTATTACTCTGCTTGTTCTTATTGCTTCCGCTGCACTAATACTGTCAAATAGATCATCCAGAGTAAGTGATTAATATCCAAAACTGAGTTAATCGATCCTATCAAGAGCCATATACACATGGCGTCGACAACAATCAATCCATTGAACACTCAAATCCCAAGATTGAATGGGAAAAATTATTATCACTGGAGCATTCAAATGAAAGTGTTATTTGAATCCCAGGAACTATGGGACGTGATTGATCAAGGATGTGAATAGCCTGATCAATTCAGCGAAATTTCCAAAGAACAAGAAGAAGACATACGAAATTTAAAGAAGAAGGACAGAAAAGCTTTGTACATAATTTACCAGGCAGTGGATGAAATTATCTTCGAACGCATCACTTCATCAAAATCTGCAAAAGAGACATAGGATATGCTTTATAGGACATACAGAGGAGAAGATAGAGTAAAACGAGTGAAATTACAAACCTTGAGATGTGAATTTGATGCACTCAAGATGAGAGACTCAGAAACTGTGGAAGAATTCTACAATCGTACAGTCTTGATACTCAATCAATTAAGATTGAATGGTGAAAATATTGAAGACAAAAAGGTTGTCGAGAAAATTCTTAGAAGCCTCACACGAAAGTTCGAATACATAGTAGTCGCAATTGAGGAATCTAAAGACTTGGATTTCATGTCACTCGAAAATCTGCTTGGAATCCTACAATCACATGAATTGAGGATGAGACAATTTGACATCTCACCATTTGAACAAGCCTTTCAATTACACTCTGCAGATAGACAAGAAAAGGAAAAAACTTTTGACAGAACTCAACAATATGATAACAAAGATAGGTTCAAAGGGAGAAGTACAACACCTGTTCAATGTCGATACTGCCAAAAATTTAGGCACATAGCCAAATACTGTAGAAAACGAATCGCAGAAGAAAGAGGATCTACTTTCTTAAACATAGAAACCAATAATGAAGATGATTCGATGTTCATGATACTCAACACCCAAGAAGTATCAACAGATGATACTTGGTACATAGATAGTGGGTGTAGTAACCACATGACAAACAACAAGGCACTCTTTACTCAATTAGATGAAAGTCAGAAACGAGAAGTGAGAACAGGAGACGACAAAAGATTAATTGTTCAAGGAACATGAGAGATCACAGTTGACACGAAGATAGGACACAAGAAAATATCAAATGTATACTTTGTTCCTGATCTAAAACACAGTTTGCTCAGTGTGGGACAACTTCTTCAAAAAAGGTATGATGTTCACTTCAAAAACAATACTTGTGAAATAAGAGACCCGAATGGGATTATACTTGGAAGAATAAATATGACCACAAATAAGATGTTTCCTCTGAATTTAAAAGGGGACACCTTATTCTCATTCAACTTGACTACCAAACAGAATTCCCTTTTGTAGCATCAAAGGTTTGGAAATGTTAATTTCGGTTATCTAAGCTTTATGCATAAACACAACTTGGTATGGGGATTGCCTAACATCAACAAGATAGATGATCACTGTGAAGCCTGCATACTTGGAAAACAGTCAAGAGAACCGTTTCCTCAAGAAAAGGCATGGAGAGCCCATAAGCCACTTGAGCTTATTCATTCAGACGTATGTGGTGCTATGAAAACAGCCTCCATTTCTGGAAACAGGTATTTACTCACCTTTATGGATGATTTTAGTAGGAAACTTTGGGTTTACTTCTTAAAAGAAAAATCAGAAGTATTTGATGTTTTTAGAACCTTCAAATTATTTGTTGAGAAACAAAGTGGACACCAAATCAAGACTTTTAGATCTGATGGGGGTGGAGAATACAATGCCATTTATTTTTTGGACTTTCTACAAGAAAATGGCATCCACCACCAAGCGACTACCAGATATACACCTCAGCAAAATGGGGTGGCAGAGAGAGTAAACAGAACTCTCATTGATAAAGCCAGAAGCATGATAAAAAGCAAAGGTTTAGCTGATCAGTATTGGGCAGAAGCTGTTTCATGTGCATGTTATTTACTAAATAGAACCTCCACTAAAAGCCTTTTAAATATGACTCCTCAAGAGGCTTGGAGTGGCCGTAAACCAACTGTTGCACATCTAAGAACATTTGGTTGCTTAGCATATGCACATGTACCAGACCAGAAAAGGAGCAAGTTGGAAGACAAATCAGAAAAAACTATTTTTGTTGGTTATAATGAACGGTCAAAAGCTTATAAGCTCTACAATCAAATCACTAAGAAGACTATTATTAGTCGAGATGTGATATTTGAGGAAGGAAAAGCATGGGATGATTCTTCAAGTTCAAATGATAACATTATCCAAGATATGAGTGGAATAGAAACATCAAAGGAAACAACTACAAGTGATACTAATCAGAATACTACTCCAGCAACTTCAAGTCAAGATAGTTAAAGTCCAATATCACCAATAAGTGAGAATAATGTGCAAAGATCAGACATTCAAGAGTCCTCTTCAGAAAGTCCACCTAAGAGAGGTTATAGGAGCCTAAATGACATCTACAACACTACAAGGAGGATAGACTTCAATGATGTAGCAGACTTTGCTCTATTTTCTGATGTAGACCCTCTGCTATTTGAAGATGCCATTCAAAAGAATATATGGAGAGAAGCAATGGAAAAAGAAATTGAAGCCATCTTAAAGAATGATACCTGGGAATTAGTGGATCTGCCAGAGGGTCACAAGCCAATTGGAGTCAAATGGATTTACAAGACAAAACTTAATGGAACAAACAGAAGGTTATGTGAAGAGAGGAGAGGAACACAAAGTATGTCGTCTAAAGAAGGCTTTATATGGGCTTAAATAAGCACCACGTGCTTGGTACAGTCGAATTGAAGGCTACTTTCAAAGCAATGGTTTCAAAAAATGCCCTCAAGAACATACTGTGTTTACAAAAGGGACTGATGGTATGATGCTTATTGTATGCATATATGTGGATGATTTAGTTTTTACAGGAAATTCTTCAAAAATGGTTGAAGAATTCAAGAATTCGATGAAAGAGGAGTTCGATATGACAGACATGGGACTTCTTCACTACTTTTTGGGAATCGAAGTAAGACAAGAAAATGAGAAGATCATGATCTCTTGTTAGCTCTCATATTTCATTTAATGTAAAAGTATGAAAAAGTATTACTGCGAGTGTTGATAGAAGGGTTCATTCCACAGAAGACCACAGAGGACCAACAACAGAAGATGATCATTCGTATAAGTCAAGATTGACAGAACCTCTGTTGTCTCTCACAGAGGTTCTGGAAAATGGTCCTCTGTTATCAAGAGCTTACAAGTAATATGCAGCAGAGCCTCTGGGATGGATCACAGAGGGTCTGCGGTTCATCTTCTGTNTGGGGACAGAGGTCGTCTTAGACGAAGAAGAATAAGAAGAGATGGAGTTAGGTGAGGGAGAAAAGGATACCAAAGGTACACATCCTAGCCCTCCTCCCAGTGCTACCCATGCTACTAGGGGCCCTGTTCTAGAGGGATCCCCTATTGAAAAAGGCGTGCACACGCCAAGCCCAACACAAGCTAACCTCGGAGAGGACATTCTTCAGTCCTCTATCGATCGCACAGCCGGGCAACCACATACTACTCCTACATCCTCTCAAAAGGATGGAGGTTTTACTATAAGAGTCCCATCGCCCAAGGACTCGTCACATCCCAAAGAGGCATCTGTTGCCTCTCCACACATGAGTGACCAACCAGAATATGCTTCAGAGGCATATGTGAGAGTCACAGAGACAGAGGGTCTAGAACGCCCAATGTCCACACTCCATCCCTCTGCCATGTTAGGCTCTGAACCTAAAAGGCAAGAGACCGAACACGGGTAGGCTCTCCTCCTGGAGACGTACAAGGATCCCATGGAAGTCCCCGAGCAGACTACGACAAACCAGTCGCTGAGGGCGCCTCTCGCTCCAAGGCTACTAGGTCACCATGTGTTGGTGATCTAGACTCCCAGGATGCCTATGTGACGAAGGGGGACCTAAAAACCTTCGCCACAACGGTATTCCAAAAGATGGACAAGTTGAAAAACTTGTTCATCTCTCGCTCTATGACAGAAGATCTGGCCCCCATCACAGAGGCTCTGAAGGAGTTGTCATCCACAACCGCAGAACTCAWGACGACTCTTGCAACCCTTCAGAGCTCTGTCCTTCAAAAAGATGACCTTGCAGAAGCCTTTAGCTCTCTGTCACTCAACCCCTCTTCGATCCAGAAGCTAAAGACAGAGCTATCGGAGGTGGCCGCCCAGTTCGCTGCTGCCTTCATCTCTGCGGGCTACACAGACTACTCAACTTTCAAAGATGAGATCTAGCAAATGTTCTCCTCTGCGGTGACATATGGTGTTGATACCAAGTCCTCCAGGGCCAACATCAATCACTTAGCCACTTGTAGAGAGCTTGATGCTATGGTTGAAGCTCTGGGTGATATTGTGCGCATACACACGGATCAAGTTCTCGCAGAGGCCCGAGTCTCCAACAAAGCGATCAGAGACTGCACTTCACAGCTCATGAAAGAGGGTGACACCCTTAGAAGCGAAATCTATCGAAGCGTCTCAAAGTTGAAGTGGTCGACAGAGATCGATATAAGCCACGCATCTGTGCTTGCTGAAGAGGTGATTAAGAAGATGAAGAAGGCGGCCACTAAAATTCTAAAGAGATTGGAGAAGGCTCCCCTAGAAACTTGCAAGGCATAAGCCACCAAACACCATGACGATCAAGGAGGTGATGACCATGATCGTCATGAGGGGGAGAAGAAGGCAGAGAAGAAAGCTGAGGAGCCCAAGAAGACTTCTGCCAAACCACACAAGATAGTGGACTCTACAGCTGCCTTGTTCTCAAAAGGCAAAAAAAAGCACCAGAGCCTAAGGGAAAAGGCAAGGGCAAGGCTGTAGAAGAATCGCCACAGAAGGGGTCATCAAGCTCAGAGTCACTAGTGCAGATAAATGAAGAAGATTATGACGACCCAGAGCTCGTTCAAGCATTAAAGGCTTCTTTGGCAAAAGCTCAAGCAAGAAAGGGCAGAACCCGCTTCCCCCCCAGAGCTGGAGAAGGCTCTTCCTCTAAGGAGAAGGAGGAAACGTCCACGGGTACGTTCAACGCTCTGCAAGGAACCGTCAAACCTATTCTTGCAGAGGGGTCCACCCAGAAGACAATACTTGAAGAAAAAGAAGCCAAAGTGCCAGAGTCCGCCACAGTAGGAAGGGTCTCTGAGATCTTTGAATCGATGAGCAGGATTCCCATGCAACAAGTGCGCACAGAGTTTGTTACTACTGTGGAGGAGATTCTGCTGTGGAGATACTCTGTAGTGGACACAGAGCCCCCCTATGATCCAGAGCTCACAGGTATACCTTCTGCTGCCGCCAAGTTTCAATTCTCTAAGCTTACAAGGCCACGCGAGCAAGTCTTCTCAGAGCACGTGATTACATCACTTGAAACAACCAAGAACCTTGCTGAAGAAGACGATGCTCTATGCTCAATACGTTATGAAGAGGGATGATGGCAACCTTTACACGTTCACGGATGTTGACCTCCACAACCTCTGTGTATTTGATCTTATCTTCTTGCACAAAATTCTCAACAAATACATGGAGAGGAGGTCAAGCTATTCTCTATCGCTCAAAAGGCTTATCGAGGTTATGCGCGCACAAGTGAAGTACTACAGCCAGAAGGACTTCGAATTAGTGATGAGGTTAGCCCATTCAGATCTAAAGATTACCCCTCCGAACAACAGGCCAGGTTGGATACTGTCATCCCAACTCCATTGTTCGCAACCCCGTTTTTGGGTTTGTGTTCTTGGACAAAGATGACATCCTAAGGTTCTTTGATCTAACAGAAGCGAACAAGTACTCCACAGAGACCCTTGAGTGGATATTCAAAAGAGTGCTGACAGAGGTGAACAAAGGGCATCTAAGGATGGGTGAAGTGTCTGACATTCTCGAAGCTATCAAAGTACAAATCAACTTCAGAGAATGGATTTTCAATATCTACAGAACCATCAAGACTGACATGCTATATGCCGTAGACGACTTTCCAGAATCTGTTATGAGATAAACCTCTGTAATAGTATTGGCCTATGAAACACAATTTTGTAATTCTTTCTTTATGTAATTCTTTTCAGAGGATGAATTTTTATCTCCTCTT